CTTTCTATCTATCTATCAGATGGGATCTGATCCCATTGGGTGGAATGCAAAGATCCCAGGCTGGGACCAGCACAGGGAGAAAGGATCCCAGAGTAGACTCAACGTTCACTATCTGTCCATCTCCCTATAGCTCCCAGAATGGTGATGAAGGAGGCACCTGGCCCAACAATCAATTTGACACAGAGATGCTTCAGGCAATGATCCTGGCTTCTGCCAATGGTGAGTTATGTGCTAGGGGGAAGGAGGGTGAGGAGAAGGGGAGAGGAAACAAAATAAAATGGGAGGGAGCGGTTGGTGATGATCACAGAATGATGTCTTTCAATGGAAATTAGAGTCTTGGCTGGGGTCTCAAAACTAAGTCCCAAGGTAGAGATAGAGCACTGGACTTGGTATCAGGAAAACCTTAGTTTACATCCTACCTTAAACAATTACTAGTTTTGTGATCCTCAACTTAATCTTTCTCTGTGTCAGTTTTCTCATCTAAAAAATGAGGGTAGGAGTTGAAGGTCACTAAGGTCCCTTCTACCTCTCAATGCTATTATCTGTAATCTATGTTTGAGTCAGGCTACAGACACACGGTGTCTTTCTGGAGTCCTAGTGTATAGAAAACGAGATTGGAGTCATGCCGTGCCTTGGCTCCTTGCCTGCCTCTAGCCCCGGTACCCTGGGCTCAGCCATGCCCCTGTGCCTAACTCCTACAAGACAGGAAGAGGGCCATGACTGCTTTTTCTAACAACTTCCCAGGGAAGTGCTAGTATTTACTAAATTTACTAAAATTACAGTTTAACAACTGGTTTTGGGGGAGGAGAATGGCAGGAGGAAAAATGTCCCCAGGACACATTTTAAAGTTTAATCGGTATCATTAACATTTTCTTCATCACTTTCTTAAAGTCTAGACCATCAACAAAACAATAAACCAATCTCTGATTTGTAGTGTTTGCCAATTGCCTGGGTGTAAATGCTCATGAGCAGCTAGATGGCCTAGTAGATAGAGCTCCTGGGCTGGAGTCAGGAAGACTCATCTTGGTGAGTTCAAATCTGGCCTCAGACACTTACCAGCTATGTGACCCTGGGCAAGTCACTTAACCCTGTTTGCCTCAGTTCCTCTATAAAATGAGCTGGAGAAGGAAATGGCAAACCACTCCAGTATCTTTGCTAAGAAAATCCCAAAAGGGGTCATGGAGAGTTGGACATGACTGGAGACAACTGAACAACAAAATGATCACGCTAAAAATTTAACAATCAACTCTCAGGAGAACAAAATGTTTGAGCCGGTTTCAGGAAACCCCTGGTTTGACCCCTCCTAATCGAAGTAAAGCCCAGGAGGGGCCCCATCTGTCAACGAGGGAAGCTGGTCCCTAGGGGAGAGGGCATGACAAGGATCATGGAATTTAGAGCTAGAAAAGAGCTTAAAGAGTGTCTCTGATCCAACCCCTTCCTTTTACAGTTGGATGTGAAGAGTTTTGCAAACCTCAAAGTGCTATATAAAAGCCAATTATTAATATTACAGATGAGGAAACTGAGTCTTAGAAATGAAACGGCTTGTCCAATTCCAGACATTTAGTATTTGGCAAAGCTAGGATTTGAATTGAAGTCTATTAACATCAAATCCAGCGCCCTTTTCATTAGGACTCGGTGCTTCAGGGTTTGGTGGAGGTAAGGAAGTGATGGTGACAGATGTGTCCAAGGTGTAGGACAATTCTGGTTAAGGAGATTGAGGATGTGGTGGGATTTGGGAGAGGTGTGCAATTCATGGACCACATTGGAACCTCTGTCGTCAAACTGGTCAGGTATATATAGCTGCTATGGTCAAAACTCCACAGGCAGAGAGTATCCTGTTCCCTTTTAATGCAGATTTAAAAACCAGAGATGGAATTGGCACTCATGAGCAAACACACTCCCCCTCAGTGTCCCACTGGAATAGGGGTCAGGGCTAAATTCAGCTGGGGCCCAGGGCCAGGGAAAGCTTCTGTCTCCTGTCAGGGCCCTATAACCTTGCAGCCTCCCAGGGCCATGACCCACGTGGGTTTAGAGCCCTGGGGAGTGAAGGGTGTGGTGGGGGAAGAGGGTCAGGCTCTTACTCCAGTGCCCATTTTCCACAGACTCAGAGCTTCCAGGAGCTGGAGGCCAAGCCCATAGGGCTGAGGAGAAGGAGCAGAAGCTTACACTTCGGAGACTTTTTAAATAAACAGAAGGGTTAGTGGAGGGGAGGTAGTCAGGAAGCTGTGGTTTGCAGCTCACACCGGTCCTGACCCAGCGTCTCCAAACGGCTTGTTCAATGTCCCCTGCTCAGTGCACCTGGACTGAAGGGAAGAGCAGGTCCTAGGCTGGTATCTGGGATCTGGGGAAACAGACTGGACCTTGGGAGGGACTGAGGGTGAAAAGTCTACTGTCCTAAGTGCAGTTTGTTCACTGCCACCCCCTCTCACAACACAAACACACACACACACACACACACACACACACACACACAC